GCGCCGGGATGGGCCCCAAGCGGCGGCAGCTGACGTTCCGGGAGAAGTCACGGATCATCCAGGAGGTGGAGGAGAACCCGGACCTGCGCAAGGGCGAGATCGCGCGGCGCTTCAACATCCCGCCGTCCACGCTGAGCACCATCCTGAAGAACAAGCGCGCCATCCTGGCGTCGGAGCGCAAGTACGGTGTGGCTTCCACCTGTCGCAAGACCAACAAGCTGTCCCCCTACGACAAGCTCGAAGGGCTGCTCATTGCCTGGTTCCAGCAGATCCGTGCCGCTGGCCTGCCCGTGAAGGGCATCATCCTCAAGGAGAAGGCGCTGCGGATAGCCGAGGAGCTGGGCATGGACGACTTCACCGCCTCCAACGGCTGGCTGGACCGCTTCCGCCGGCGTCACGGAGTAGTGTCCTGTAGCGGCGTGGCCCGCGCCCGGTCTCGCAGCACTGCTTCCCGGGCCCCAGCAGCGCCCGCCAGCCCACCTGCGGTGCCCTCGGAGGGCAACGGCGGGGGTACAACGGGCTGGCGCGCTCGGGAGGAGCAGCCGCCATCGGTGGCCGAAGGCTATGCCTCTCAGGACGTGTTCAGCGCCACTGAGACCAGTCTATGGTACGACTTTCTGCCCGATCAGGCCGCGGGGCTGTGCGGCAGCGATGGACGGGCGCGCAGGGCCACCCAGCGCCTCAGTGTCTTGCTGTGCGCCAACGCCGACGGCAGCGAGAAGCTGCCCCCACTTGTGGCAGGCAAGTCAGCCAAGCCCCGTGCAGGACAAACCGGACTGCCCTGTGACTACACCGCCAACTCTAAGGGTGGTGTCACCACTCAAGCCCTGGCCAAGTACCTGAAGGCCCTAGACACCCGCATGGCTTCAGAGTCTCGCCGAGTCCTGCTGCTAGCTGGCCGCCTGGCTGCCCAGTCCCTGGATACATCGGGCCTGCGGCATGTACAGCTGGCCTTCTTCCCGCCGGGCACCGTGCAGCCGCTGGAGCGGGGAGTGGTCCAACAGGTGAAAGGCCACTACCGCCAGGCTATGCTGCTCAAGGCCATGGCCGCTCTAGAGGGCCAGGATCGCTCAGGCCTGCAGCTGGGTCTCATGGAGGCCCTGCACTTCGTGGCTGCAGCCTGGCAGGCAGTGGAGCCTTCGGACATAGCTACCTGCTTTCGGGAGGCTGGCTTTGGGGGTGGCCCAAATGCTACCATCACCACTGCCCTCAAGAGCGAGGGGGAGGAGGAGGAGGAGGAGGAAGAAGAAGAAGAAGAAGAGGAGGAGGAGGAGGAGGAAGAGGAGGAGGAGGGTGATGGGGAGAGGGAAGAGGAGGCGGAGGAGGAAGGCGAAGAAGAAGAGGAGGAAGGGGGGGAAGGAGAGGAGTTGGGGGAGGAAGAGGAGGTGGAAGAGGAGGGTGACGATGACAGTGATGAAGAGGAGGAGGAAGAGGAGGAGGAGAGTTCCTCAGAGGGCTTGGAGGCGGAGGACTGGGCCCAGGGGGTGGTGGAGGCTGGTGGCAGCTTCGGGGGCTATGGTGCCCAGGAGGAAGCCCAGTGCCCCACCCTCCATTTCCTGGAAGGTGAAGAGGACTCTGAGTCGGACAGTGAGGAAGAGGAGGATGATGAGGATGACGAAGATGACGAAGATGATGATGAGGATGGCGACGAGGTGCCCGTACCCAGCTTTGGGGAAGCCATGGCTTACTTTGCTATGGTCAAGAGGTACCTGACCTCCTTCCCCATTGATGACCGCGTGCAGAGCCACATCCTTCACTTGGAACATGATCTGGTCCACGTGACCAGGAAGAACCATGCCAGGCAGGCAGGAGTTCGGGGTCTTGGACATCAAAGCTGAGCCAATAGGCCTAGCCATGCCCTTGACCCAGATGTGGCAGCACTAACCCAGGGCAAAGGACTCTTTGGGTGGGCAGCCGCTGTGTATGGAGTCAGAGTGGGGAGCCCCAGATTCTTTAATGATGTTCCCCGGGCCCTGTGACAGGCCCAGTCACCTTGGTAGGGCCTGGGGCTGGGGTCAGCCTCACTGCCTGCTTATTGCCTCTTTCTCAGAGTCCTCTTTCCTCCCCATTTGTCCCTGGGCTTGGGGGACCAGATGGGAGGGTGGGGAGCTGTCCGGTGCTACCACACCATGCCATCAGTGGACTAGGCCATAGTAGCGGCCAGGGGTGGGCCCTGGAAGCTCCTGGCCGGAGAGTGCCTCTCCCCTCTGCCGTCCACACCAGGTCTTTGGTGGGGGGGACCCCAAAGCCATTCTGGGAAGGGCTTCAGAGGAAGGTCCAGCCTAAGCCCCCACGAGGCTGGCAGCCCCCCATCCCCACCCCCAGGCTGCCTTGAGAAGCACAGTCTAACTCACCACAGGCTCCTGAGCCTGCCTCTGCCTGCTTTCCCACCTCCCTAATCCCTTTCTCTGGCCCAGTCCATGTTACTTTGGCCCTTGGTTTTCTTTCCAGATTGGAGGTTCCCAAGAGGCCCTCCAGGGGAGTTATAATGGGCGTTTCCTTTGTGGGCAGCTGCAGGCCCCATGCCTCTCCTCCCTCTCTGGCAGGGTTTTATCCTGGGTGGGGGGCCTGGGGCCGCTCCTTTCCCAGTTTGAATTCAATAAATCTGTCCACCCCCCTTTTGTGGGGGTGAACATTTTAACAGCCAAGGGTGCATCCTTCATGGTCTGGGCTTGCGTCTCTCTTGGGGACACATTCTTCTCTGGTTCCCTTTGGTCCTTGCTCTGGTGGGACATGGAAGCAAGTGTTGAAAGGGTGGCCACAGCCTAGGCCCTGACTAGAATGAGGGGCCATCTCCATATCTAAGTGTTACTTAGGCTTTGGGAGGTGGGGGTCTTCATGCACCTGCCTGGGCATGAGTTTGAGGAAGCTGGGCCGTGCACTGCTTTGGGGTTAGAAGCTTGGGGTCAGTTGGCTGGGACAGGAGGGAGGAAGCCAATAGTTCCTGTTGGGACAAATTAAACTATAGGCGCCTGGGAACTAGGCATATCAAGGCTCATTAAAGAAGGCCCTTGCCGGAATGGGGCCAGAAGGTAGAAAGAAGAGTGTTGGAGCAGCTCCTGTGGTCCAGGTTGGAGTTTGGAGGGCATACAGGGCATATTTAGTGCCTTAAGAGGGACCCCTGTAGACTCTTTGGTGATTGGCACCTCCAAGCCTGGTGACTATCCTTAGGGGCAATGGCAGAAAGGTGATATTGGCTGGGGACAGATTGCCCACCAAAAGGCTGAAGATGAATTGGCAACTCCCTGTGTGGTGCCCTCCAGGGGGCCCCCTAATCCAAAGGAGAAGACAGGCTCTCTCTGATCCTATCCCCTTTCTCCTTCAAGGGCCAGCCCCTGCCTCCTTGGCCCTCCAGCATTGAGGCCCTCAGGCCCCAGCAGTTCCAGCTAGGGGAGGGCCTGAACTTGAATAGGACTGGCAGCTCTGGGCCCCAAACCGGTTTTCCCACCTCACTAGGGCTGGCACATCACCCCTGTGGTTCCCTCCCCCCACCTTTTTGCAGTTCTTCCTCTCCCCACCCTGGAATGTTAAGGGGATATGGATATTCAGGTTATCTTTGTCTCCTGTCCTGAGCATGGTCCCTTCTAGAAAGACAAGGTCACTATGTATGACTTTAAAACAACTAGGTGGAGTGACTTTCACACTTGGCTTTCAACACGTCTGGCCCTTCTAGGCCTTGAAGACTTTGTAAGTGACAGCAACAAGTAGTTAGAATTCTCCTTACCATCAGCCCCACCCTCAGAAAGTCATGAGGAAGCCCAGCCTAACTGCTGGCCTGCTCTAGAGTAAGGTAAGAGCAAGAACCTCCCCAGATGCCCCTGGCAATCTAACTCCCTGACCTCAAATACCAACAAGGTAAATCCCTTTCATTTGTCTCCCGCCTACAAGAACACCTCTTTTGCTAGAACTGAGGTCATCTCATTATTGATAGCATTGATGTTAATAGGGCTCTTTGCCACCTTCCAGGTGTTGTACTAAGCACTTTAGATGCTAACAAAGTCCTTATGAAGTAAGTAAAACCATCAGAAAACAGGCACAGGGAGGTCCAGTAACGTGCCCAAAGCCACCCTGCTAATCTGGTAGAAGCAAGCTTTCTCCCCAGGCTGACCCTAAAAGTGGCCCTTTACTGCTACTTTGTGCCCCTTCACTAAGGAAGGACCTATCTTCCTAACTCTCCTAAAGGTTGTCCTCTTTCGAAATAGAACTGGTTGTTGACGGAAATCAATTTCTGATTCATGGAAGAATAGCTCTTTGGAGGAAGACGAGGGATGTGGAAGTATCTACAGGAGCTCTTGCAGCTCTTATCCCTATAACAAACGCCCATTCCGGCAGTCCCCATAAAAATACAGGTCTAGAAATACCCTTTTCATTCTCCCCATTACCTTGTTGGGACAAATAGGTGAGGACGACCCCATTTCACAAAGTAGGTAATAGGGTTAAGGAGTTAAATGATCTGTCCAATGTACTGGCCTTGAGCTCTGGTGTTCTCTCTGGGAGTCTGGGTTACATATTAAATGCCCCGCCAGGACACTGCTGGGAAGCAGGGAGTGGTGATGGTCCTATGAGCTTTAAGGAGGGACGCAGAAAGGAGGCACTGTCACACAGCCTATCATACAATACAGATGGGAAGCAGCAGATAATTAACAATGGACAACCAGATAAATCTGACAAACATTGGGATGCTGCTTTTACTCGGGACTGATCACTAAAGGATCCAGAAGGAGGATCCCAGCCCTGGGGATGCTGGTGCAGGTATTCTGGGACTTGTTTGGCTTTGTCAGGTTCCAGAGTGGGCCAATGGGTGGTCAGCAGGCGGCATGGATGCAGAGGTGATTTCTTCTTGGGAGGCAGGGTAAACAAAGTCACATATAATCACCTTTTCAAATGTGGAGCCTAAGAGGAGGTAGCAGGGGGAAAACTACAACTCCCAGAAGCCTCTGCTCCTCAGCCATGGATGGTTGCCATGGTTTCAGAAAACAATATGTCCGCTCCCAGCCGGGCAGGGAGTCTTGGAGTTAGGGAGAAGCGGATTTCGGTGCCGGCAGTGGCGAGGGCGGAGGCGCTGGAGAGGTAGTTAAGGCTGGGGCTGGACTCTGCTCGGCTGGAACTGCCTGGCTTTGCCGAGGGCACCAATGGCCGGCAACGTGGACGAGGAGGCGCTGCACCAGCTGTACCTGTGGGTAGACAACATCCCTCTGTCCCGGCCCAAGCGAAATCTCTCCCGGGACTTCAGTGACGGAGGTATGTGCTCCAGTGTGTGTGCGCCTGTGTGTCCACACGTTCTGTTTTGTATGTACGTGCGTTGGGGTCTGTGTGCATACATGTCTCTTTATGCTTGTGTACTTCTGGAGTGTGTTGTTGGGAGGCATTCAGACTATCTCCTAGCACTTCAATTGTAGAAGTGTGTGTGTGTGCGTGTGTGTGTGTGTGTTCTATCTGCATCTTTGGAAATTGGGCTTATGTCTACGTGTTCAATACTTTATGCATGTGCATACATGTCTCTTTATGCTTGTGTACTTCTGGAGTGTGTTGTTGGGAGGCATTCAGACTATCTCCTAGCACTTCAATTGTAGAAGTGTGTGTGTGTGCGTGTGTGTGTGTGTGTGTTCTATCTACATCTGTGGGAATGTGGGCTTATATGTCTACGTGTTCCATACTTTATGCATGTGGGATTTATGTGTATCTCTCTCTCTCTGAGTTTGTGAATCTGCGACTCCCTCCTGGAGATTTAATGACTCAGATGTGTTTCTGAGTATGTATTTGTGCATCTCTGTGTGTGTGTGCAGGCTCATTGCTGTTTGTCTTGTGGGAGTCGGAGTATGTGTGTTCATATGTGTATTGACATATTCTGTGCTATGTATGTGTAGGGGGGTCTTGTGCACATATGCATTTCTTTGTGATTGTGTAGGTGTTTCTGTGTCTAAGACTGTCTCCTGGGATTTTGATGACATGTGTATATTGGTGCATATGTGACTCTACTTGTGTGTGTGTGTGTGTGTGTGTGTGTGTGTGTGTGTGTGTTGGTAACTGTCTCTTGGAACTCCATTAATGGAAGTATGTCTGTCTATGTGTTTGTGCATCTCTGTGTGTTTGTGTATCTCTGTATGTTTGTGTGTGTGCTATATGTGCACCTATGTGTCAGGGTATGTGTGTGTCCTGTATGTCTACACATTCTGTCCTATGGCACATCTGTAGGGGGAATCTTATCACATGTGTCTGCTCATGTGAGTCTGTGTCTCTCTCCTGGGACTTTGGTGTTGGAGTATGTGTGTATATCCATGTGAATGCCTAGGGTGGGGCCCCAGGCTCCCAAAGGGCTCTCTTGGAGACTCATTTTCTGTTACAAGATTAGAGACCACATTTTCATATGCCCTGAGGTAATGGGGAGGGGATGCAGCCCCTCTGGGGTATGCTGGAGGCTTAGTCTCTGGCTAATCACTGATCTTACTTCTTTGACTTCCTTCCCCTCTCGTCCATTACCCCTCCCTCCCTATCATCCTTTCCCTTTCCTCATCTCTACTTCTCTACTTGGTCCCACCACTCTGCCACCCCTGATTTTCTCATCCCACCCATTTCTTCTCCCTTCTCCTTCTCCCTTTCCCATCCCTCCACCTTTTATGTATGCTCTCACTCCCACTGCCTCAGTCCTGGTTGCAGAAGTCATCAAGTTTTACTTCCCCAAGATGGTGGAGATGCACAATTATGTCCCTGCCAACTCTCTCCAGCAGAAGCTCAGCAACTGGAGTCACCTGAACAGGTAGCATAATATCTGGGTGCACTAGAGGATCTCCAACCCCTATTCTGGGCTTCCAGGAAGGGCTGATGCAGCCCTTCCACCTCCTATGGTCTCTGCAGCCCAGGCTGGGATTGTGTTGGTGGCAGGGTGGGGAGGGACAACGCAGACAGAACTGTCTGGTAACAAAATCAAGGGACTCTTCTATTGAGGAGGCAACAAAGAAACTCAAGACACCCAAGAACTGGGCTCAAATGTGGTGCCCTTCCATTCCCCCAGGGTTGCGTACCCAGGACTGCTACTGTTGCACCCCCTTCCTTCTCCCACCCCCCTCACTTCATTTTCCATCTGCCATCCCTTTGTCTACTCCCCAGGAAAGTGCTGAACAAGCTGAACTTCTCAGTACCAGAGGATGTGATGCGCAAGATCGCACAGTGCGCCCCAGGAGTGATTGAATTGGTGCTCATTCCGCTGAGGCAGCGCCTGGAGGAGCGGCAGAGGCGCAGGAAACAGGGCTCTGGCTCCTTACAGGTGCCACCCCACTCAAGCTTTTCCTCCCACTGCATATTGGCAACAAGTGTGGAAGAAGGGTGACTGGCTAAAGGGAGCCTGGCTAAAGAGAGCCTGGCCTGGGCAACAGCGGAAGGGACCTGGGGCTCCTTGGGGCTGGGCTAGCCAGAACTCACAGTGCAACCCGGGGGGCGGGTTTCTTTCAGGAGCTGGCTCCACAGGATGGCACGGGCTACATGGATGTGGGTAAAGTAGCCTTTACTTTTCTTCCTTCCCAGAAGGAGCCTTCTTCCTGTCTTTCTTTTCTGTGCGGGGGTAGGGAGCATGGTTGGGGGAAGACAGGAAAATAGGACTCCACAACAGTTATTCCTCTCCTTACCTCTTCTCAGGTTTATCCCAGAAGGCTGGAGGGGAAGGTCCCCCAGATCCCCAGGGAAGGGGACAGCTCAGGTAAGGAAGCTGGGAGTTCCCAACCTCACCAGTTCAGCAATCTCCTACATAGGGCTGGGATGCTCCTGGGAGGGTAGGGAAGGCAGGAACACGGGAGGAGGGGATGAGCCTGGTTGAGGGGCACTGGAAAGGTTGGAGGAGAAGGTCTAGGCCTCCGCTAAACTGCTTCCCACCCCAGGAGAGGTCGGCTGCCAGCGCTCGGGCCTCCGGGGTATAACCAGGTGCCTCACGGCGACCCAAGCTTCGTCCTCCAGATCGCTGAAAGGGAGCAGGAGCTGTTGGCCTCGCAGGAGACCGTGCAGGTGAGGGCGTACTGGGAATGTGCGGGGACTTGGGGCCAGCAAAGGCGGGAACAGAGGGCAGCCCGCTTTTGGGCTTGACCTCTGCGTGGCGCGGCCCAGGTTCTGCAGATGAAGGTGAGGCGCTTGGAGCACCTGCTCCAGCTCAAAAACGTGCGCATCGACGACCTCTCCCGGCGGCTCCAGCAGGCGGAGCGTAAGCAGCGGTGAGCGGCGGCTCGGGACGCGCGGGGACGCCCCAGTAGCCACCAGAGCCCAGACGCTGCGACCGACTTACCCACCGACGGGCAGATGAACGGGCGGGCGGAGCCAGCATCTCCAAAGAGCCTCCTGGGGCAGGAGCGCGCCCCTCCCTTGGGGTGGGGGTGAGCATGGTGGGACCGGAGCCCTCCCAGCGGAGCCCCGAGACTAAGCCACCTCCTTCCACTCCATCCGGGTCAGGAGAATGGACCGCTTTCCAGAACCCAGAAGCCACGTGCAGAAATCTGGCGTGTGCCCCAAAGCAGTACCGGACACCGGGGGCTCTGCCTTGGCGCTCCCTGTGCTGGGCCTTGAGAGGTGGCCCCCTGGCTCAGTTTACAACTCTAGAACCAGGTCCCCTCCCAGCTGTGAGGACAGCAATGTCTCCATCCAGGCTAGTTCTCTGTGTCCTGGGCCATGGGGGAAGCTGCCCCAGGCAGCTGAAGGAGTCCCTTGCCTCTCCTGGGCACTCACCTGGGACCCATCTGACGGCTGGAAAGCACAGCCGCTGGAAAGGAAGGGGTGAGGAGTGGGTTCAGCCAGGAGTGGGGAAGACACTGGCTGTGCCTATACCAATCACCCACCCTTCTCATGGGGTACTGTTGAGAATGGGGTATATGGACCAGTGCTGCCCCCAATAAAAAAAGGTATTGTGCTCGCTTTCCTGCCTTCTCTCTCCACTTCCATCCCTGTGGGCAGCGGGGTATTGCCCCACTCCTTGAGTGAAAGAGCCTTTTGGGCCCAGAGTGGGTCTTACCTTGTGGGTAGCTGGGTCCTAGATGGCTACTGGTTGGTTGTTGATGATATCACAGGAGTGAGGTCTTGTACACCTGACTTCTAACTCTGACCTTACTTAGACTGACCCCCCAAACCCACCCTCACAGTGTCCTCCAACTCTGTTCAAACCCAGGCTTCAGATTTTCCCCTAAATGTCACCACACACTCACCTTCAACTCCCAACCTTGCCCGTAGACTGATCTCCAGTTCTATGGAATGAAGACAAGCTTGACTCCCAACCTTGACCAAGATGCTATAGCCATGGTATGACCCTAACTCTGATCATTTATGGACTACCAGCAACATTGAACATTTGTAAATCCTGAGCCCTCACAGTCCTGTTCCTAGGCATATACTGAGCATGTACCTGGGGGAAACATAAGCTCTGTATTCTGTATGTCTGGGACACATGTATAGCAATGATCGTAGCAAAATGTTCTGTAATAGCACAAGAACTGAAAAGAATGTGTATTTATTATCTATTAATGTGTAACAAATTACCACAAAGTTAGTGGCTTAAAACAGCACATATTTATTATCTCATATTTTCTGTGGCTCCAGGGTCCAGGTATTGCTTAGTTGGGTCCTCTGCTTCAGGGTTTCTCACAAGGCTGTAATCAAAGTGTTGGCCAGAGCAATAGTCTCATCTGAAGGCTCGACTGGGGAAGTTCACCTGGAAGTTGTTGAAAGAGTTGTTTCTTGTGGGCTGTTGGACCGAAGTCTTCAGTTTTTTTGCTGAGTGTTGGCTAGTGGCTGCCCTTACTTCCTTGCCACATGGCCATCTCCAGTAGCCAGCTTACTTCTTCAAAGCCAGACAGGGATAGAGTTAACAGAATCTGCTAGCAAGATGGAAGTTACACTCTTATCTGATGTAATCACAGAAGTGACATCCAACGTATTTGTCATTCTACTTATGAGAAGTCGTACTTACTTCTCTATGTGAGTCCAGCCCACATTCAAGGGGAGAGGAACACATGGGTGTGAATATCAGGAGGTAGAGATCATTGGGAACCATTTTAGAAGCTGGCTACAAGGAGGAAAATGCAAAGAGGGATAAAATCTAGAATAACAATTACTTCTGAGAGAAAGCAGAGGGCAGAGATGCAAGAAATGTTATTTGTAATATGTTAGTTTTTAGGGCAGGTGATGGGTATATAGGTTTTCATAAGGACTGTTTATAGACAAGTGGGAAAAGAATGTCATGAACCAAGGATTATGTGGAGTCAAATTTTGTTTACCTGAATTCCTAAACTAATAAAGTAAAAATAAAAATTGATGACTACTCCTGACCTTGGTCTGTGCCCTCTTTTGCAGTTAGGCTGGTTTTAGGTTAACACTGGCTTCAGCCAGCCCTCTGCCTTCCCCAAATGAATGGTCAGCCCTGCACACGTATTGACCCCAGCCATAGCACTATTCTCTCTCCGTAGTCTGTACTGGGATTACATAGTTCTGTTCTTTGAATCTTTTATCTATAGACCACACCTCTACACTCCTGTTTGTGGAGCTGGTAGGAATGGTTTGTGAAGGGTCTGAGACTAGGAGGCGGGGCAGGGCATGGTTCTGCTTGACAAGAGCACAATGGGCCCAGAATGCAAGGTCAGTGACTGGGGTCATCCCTTTAAGAGTACACTGGCCTCTTCCATAGCAGAGGCTGGGCCAGGTCCTGGAGGTTCCTCCTCCTTGAGTCCTTCCCTCCCCATTCTTAGTTTCTGGATATGCCTGAGTCTGTCTCAACCCACAATCATATCTCAAAACCCTGAAGATCAAACCCAAAAAGCAATGGAGAATTTTATTGAATGTTTCTTGAGAATAAATATGAAGGTGGATTATATCACATTATATTCTATAACTCTTCTTTAAGTATCTTTACTGTTCTCTAAACTTCTGACAGCCACAGCCATATTTCTTCCACTCTGTTTCTCACTCCCCTCTCCCCTTTCTGACCCACACTAAATCAGATTTCTTGCTCATTCATACGTTAATTCCTCAAATGTTTATTGAGTGTCTACTCTCTACTAAATGCCAGAAACACAAAGATAAGTATAAAACATGATTTGTCTCCCCCAGTGTTCACAGTCCTAGAGGGGGAGATGGCAGGTAAAAAGATATTTAAAATTTTTTGTTACTTAAAGTTTTGAATAGATAAAACGCACATAATTTTTAAAAAACATAAAAAGTGAAAACTCTACCTGGTCCCCACATACCTCCAATAGGTAACATTTTTCTTTAGTTTTTATGTATTCTTCTAGTGTCTTTATATGAATATAAGCAAATATGCACCTTTATTGTTATCTTACCCCTTCCTTTTTTTTTTTTTTTTTTAACATAAAGGGGAAACAGACTCTGTCCTATATCTTAATTTTCCACTCAACAAGTTCTCTTGTGGATATGCGATGGTCAATGTCATTGCCAACTTTACTGGGTCACAGGGTGCCCAGATATTTAGTCAAACATTCTAGATGAGATTAACATTTAAATGGGTAGACTGAGTAAAGTGGATTGTTCTCCCTGATGTGAGTGAGACTCTTCCAATCAGTTGCAGGCCCGAATAGAATAAAAATGCTGTCTCTCCCCTAAGAGAGAATTGCTCCTGCCTGATGGCCTTTGAACTGGGATATGAGCTTTTCTTTTCTTTTCTTTATTTTTTTTCCTGCCTTTGAACTCTTAACTGAAACATCAATTCTCCCTGGGTCTTGAGCCTGCCAGCCTTTGAACTGGAACTAAATCTTTGACTCTCCTGGGTCTCCAGCTTGCTGACTCATCCTACAGATCTTGCAACTTGCCAGCCTCCATGATCATGTGAGCTAATTCCTTATAGTAAATATCTCTATGCCCTACTGGTTTTGTTTCTCTGGAGAACCTTGATTAATACAAGATTTTTCCATATCTGTACACTGAAAACTTCCTCTGCTTTTAAAGCTATATAAAATTCTATTGTCTGTACCAAATTTATTTAATCAGTTCTCTATTTATGGGCATTTGATTTGTTTCTAATCTTTTGTTAATAATAATAATATAATGAATAACCTCATGCATTCATAATTTAGCATTATGTACAAGTGTATCTGTATGATAAATTCTAGACCTGGTGTTGGTAGGTCAAAGAATACATGCATTTGTAATCTTGTTATTGTGAAATTGTCCACCACAAGGGTATGGTTCAGAGCAGAGACTAAAGACTGATAACCCATTGGTTAGCAATGTCATGGTTTTACAAAATTAATTGTTAATTTTTATACTGAGGGGGATGTGAAGCAACTCATACTCTGTTGATGGGAGTGTAATTGAGTACAACCATCTCAGAAAGCAGTTTAGCAGTTTCATATAAAACTAAACACATGCCTATGCTATTTTATCAGTTAGGGTTCGATTAGAGAAGCAGAAAGGATTTGTTACAGGACTTCGACTTCAGGTAACTTTTAAATAGGCCCCATAAGGCTGCTGTTTTGCATCTTATACTGGATCTTCAAATCCACAGCTCAGGCAGTTGGGAAGGAAAGATGGATATAAAATAGAGGAGAGCAAGGACAAGTCAGAACCCATGGGTACAAGCTGGAACCCTCGAGGACAAATTGGAACTCATGTCAGTTCCCACTGCCTCCAAACTTGATTATGTGGGTATCCTGTCAGAGATGGTGCCCTTTCTCATCTGGCTCAGGAGTCAGAGAAGCTGAAGAAGGATCCAGGGAAAGGTGAGACATTTGCAGACCTGGCTGCTAACCCATCTCAGTGAGATGAACCAGCAGATCAGTAACAAAGTGCATAGGCTACAAAGCTCCTGCCTAGAGCTTGCAAGTGTAAAAAACAATATAGTCACTACTTTTCTTTCACCCAAATCTCATGCAAAAATGTCTATTGTGGCTCACCCTAATTGGAAACATATATGGAAGAGAATTCTGGGAAATGTAGTTCACCCTAGCTGAGCTGACACATTATAAAGCCACCATGGCTGTGCTCCAGCAATTCCATTTAATTCTCAGTAGAAACTCAAGAGAAATGCATCCATATGTTTACCAAGACATGTACTAGAATATACAATACAATAAACAGTAATCTCCCCTTATCCACAGGGGATACATTCTAAGACCCCCAGTGGATGCCTGAAACCACGGATATTTCTGAACCTTATATATACTATGTTTTTTCCTACACATACATAGCTATGATAAAGTTTAATTTATAAATTAGGCACAGATTGTATAATGTGTGATTGCATAATTTATAAATTAGTAACAGATTGACAATAACTAATAATAAAATAGAACAATTTTAACAATATACTGTAATAAATGTAATGTGCAGTAGCCTCTTTCTTTCTGATAACCAATCTGATAACAGAGATGGCTACTAAGTGACTAGTATATACAGTGTGGATTCATATAACCAGCGAAAAGGAGAGGACAATGCAAGATTTCTTCATGCTACTCTAAATGGTGTACACTTTAAAACTTATGAATAGTTTATTTCTGGAATTTTCCATTTAATAGTTTGGGATCGTGGTTGATGGCAGGTAACTGAAACCATGGAAAGCAAAATCACAGATAGGGGGAAGACTACTGTAGCACCAGGCAGTCCAGAGTTAGCAGCTAGTCTGTTTGAAAGAGCCAGAGATGGTTTTGAGGAGTTGGCTAAAAAGACACACAAAAAGGCAGGCCTTAACCTGGTCTTGAAGGGGAGGGTGAGTTTTGCCCATAAGAGAAGAGTAAAAAGGTGAGAAGGTAGCATAAGGAGGGTATCATGAAATCAAATGTCTGCACAGACAAAGGAAGTAAAATTAATGTGAGAAAATAGGGATTGGTGGGGACTATGGCAAATTGATGTGCCAGACTTTGGTGCCAGGCTAGAATGCCAGGATGGAAGGTGAGTCCATGTTGTTGGATGTTCTAATATTTGAAAAGAGGAACAAGAAGAGGAAGAGGGGATAGAGGGAAAAGAGGAAGAGGGAGGGGAAGAAGAGGAGGAGGAAGAAAAAGAATTAGAATTTTTAAAAATCCATACAGGCTAAACAAAATACAGCTGCAGCCTACTTTGGGCACACTGACAACTTTAGACCTTGAAGAATGGAATAGACATGGGAATACAATTGGAGGGGTAGCATAGTAGGGAGCATGGAACGGTGGGGTTGGGTAGTGAGATAGCATCTGGCAGGAGCTGATAGGCTGGGATCAGAATGCAGAAATCTCCCAATGCCCGCGCTGGAGGACAGCATCTCAAACACCAGAGTGCGCATGTATCACCCAAAATACTGCTTAAAAGTTTGTGAGGCTCTGCTGGAGACAGTAGCAGAGCATGGAGCGCTTTGGAGCAAGGGAGGAAGCGATGGAAACAATAGCTTAGGAAAATTAATTTGCCAACAGTGTGCAGACCAGAGACGGATCCAGCGGAGGGCAGGAGCCTTGAGGGCTCCCCAAAGGCAGCGACCTCGATCCTCCTGAAAGGAAGCTGGCCCTCAGCCGCTCCTTTCATCCATACCCTTGTTAAGTTGGAAGGAGAGAGCTGCGTACTCTGGATGGTTCCCCACGGGTACTTTAGGGACTGTCCCGGCCAACGAAATGGGGCGGGGTGGTGGTGGTGGTGGTGTGTGTGTTGTTCAAGGATCTGCAGGAAGGGCTACTTCTAGAACCTCTAAAGACCCGAGGGCCACGCCTCTCGCTCCTCTGGCTCAGCGTTGGCGCCCACGCTCCCCCTCCCACCACCCCCCGCCCCGGCTCTGTGCCGGGCGCATCCTGCTGCCATAGCGACCGCCTCCATGGAGACCGGGAGCAGAGGCTGCAGTCTCCGGGGCGCCTGCACAGGTTCTCCCAACCCCTTCCCCACGTTCCTTCTTTGTACTGATGTTTATCCTGGCCCGCAGGACGCGTTTCAGGTCCGCGCTGGAGCGCTTCCTCCGAGGCAAGGGGATGGGATGGTAGGGGAAGAGGCTGAAACCCGGGGGTTGCAGAGCGGATTCTGAACAGGATCTAGTGATGCGTGTATCGACTGCCAGTGAGGGCTTTGAAGAGACTTTCAGGTGCCTCACCTAGCCCTGAGCCCCTCCTTACGACCGCTCACCCTAGGGGCAGGGCCTAGGGGAGGCCCTTTTCAAATTGAGGCCAAGGAGGGAGGGGTAAACTCCACAGCTGAGGATGGGATGCAGGCGTGGCCTACTCGAGCCCCTTCTCTTTCCCGCTCTCCATTCTGCCCTATGCTGGCCCCTGACGCCGTCCAGCCGCTTGCCCTCATCGCGATAAATCCCGCGGCCCAGGGTAAGCCAGGTCTCGCATGGCGCAACCGCAGAGCCCTCTGCACGTGACGCAGTGGCGCAAAGCCTGTTGGCGGTTCTCTGGCGCCCGCTTATTGGTCCGAAGCATCCTCGCCCCACCCCCTCAGTCGACCAATGGGCGGAGACGGGGGGCGTGCCCGTGAAGCGGGCGGCGGCCGAGCGGGGTTCTCCCCGCGTGTTGGGTGTTGAGACCCCGGCTGCCACTGCGACCGCCACCGCTGCAGCTGCGGTCGTCCGGCTTGGCCTCAGGGTGAGCCCCGCGCGGTGAGACTGCTCCTCCTCCCGTCACCTCCCGGTTCCTCCTTGCTCGCGGAGATCCCTTCTCTTCGGAGCCTCTGTCCCAGAGAGTCGGTGAATGAGACCCCATCCGTCTTGGCGAGGTGCGGGGGTGGTGCTCCGCTGTCCGGGCGGAGCCCGGGAGGTCTCCCTGGCATCTGAGCTAGGGAGTGTCAGGCCCCGGGGACGTGGGTGACCGTTAGCTGTAGTAGCTGGGGTGTTTTCCGCGGGGCACTGTCGGGGGCACGTGTGACACTGTTGGGGGGGGGCGTAATGGGGTCAGGGCCGTCAGCATCCGCCCTCCACCACTATTGTTACCGCCTCGCTGTGTGACCTTGGATGAGTAGCCCCTTTGGGCTTCGCGTGCCTCGGCACCCTTTGGGAGGAAGGCAGTGATGTCGGGGACTGCGGGCTTTGAAGACTCTGCGTCAACAGAGGTGAGGATGGGGAGGGCACAGGATTATCTCTGAGGGACTGAGCCAACAACGCCTCATAGCCTGGGAGGGGTGTGATGGGGAGGGTTGTTTAGCTGCATCTCTTCTCGGAAAGGATGAGAATGGCGGGGAGGCGGGGCGGGGGCGCCACACCCACAGGGATAGAGGCGCGAGGGGATAGGGGTGCTACACCCGGGGCCCTGGTGCGTCTGGGAACTTGGCCTGCACCTCCCAGTTGTCACGCTGCAGGAGGGATTCATTCGATTTAGGTTCCGGACCAGTGTACTTTTTAGTGAGCAAGGGTCCTGCTGGACTGAGAAAGAAGATACTGGGTCGTCTTTCTTATTGAATTTTGGCATTGGGAAGTGAGGATAGGCGTTTCCCTTCCTTGGGAACTGAAGGTCAGGGGCAGCTGACGCCCTCTGGACCCTGCCTGGCCTCTACTTGTTGGGACCATCAGGTCACAGGCCCAGAACAGGGCCTGGGTAGGACAGGCGGTCTGGAGGATAGAGCAGTCTAAGTTCCTTCTAGCTAAGAGTTTGGAGTGGGGTTTTGTGGGGAGGTAATTCTGGAAAGAGGAGGGCAGCACTTCTTGGGGAGACAAGAGGGTGTATATGATGAGGGGTCCCTTTCCCAATTCACCCCTGCTTCACCCATTTGTGAGAGACAGAACACACATACTTATCTTTGTACCTTTGGCCTGCTAGAGGGAGGAGGAAATGGAGTCACAGACAGACGGAGCTGATGTAAAACTGCCACAGCCACACCTGACCTCCAGTCTTGTTTGTGTGTCCAGTCCTATATCAGGTTCTGGAGTCAGCAGAACATTGTGACCTCAGTGGGCATTCTTTTTACAAGCTTGAGCCTTAATGAAAGTTTAGACAGTGCTTCTGATAGACTGAGTGCTTAAACCAGGACTGAGCCCAGGGCTAGGGGTGTGGGGAGAGTGGAGAGCTGTGGAGTTCCTAAATCCTGGAACAGGTTGAGAATGGGGATTGAGGAATGAATGAGAAATGAGGCCCCAAGAGTTTGCGGACATGCCTACATGTCACAAAGCAGAGGACAAGCTGAGGCTGACCCCTTTGATGCCTGGGATTTAGGGGCTGCAGAGAGGTGGTGTGTGTGGCGGGGAGCTGTGGGGAAGAGGGAA